CGTCTGTCGGGGGTGAGTGTGCCCTTGGCACGGACGTCCTTGAGGACAGGCAGGAGGAGTTCCAGTGTCTGGCCGCCGCTTCACCTCATCTCGCGTCTGTACTGCTCGCCCCTGAGGGAGACCCGGATGCACTAGACATCCCGACTCCGCGCTCTTACGCGGAGGCGATAGAGGGTCCCTACTCCTCTCAGTGGCAGGCAGCTATGGATGCAGAGATGGCTTCCCGGAAGTCCACAGGCACCTACGTTGACGCTGTTCCCCCTCCTGGGGCGAACATAGTCCGTGGCATGTGGATTTTCAGGGTGAAGCGGCCGCCGGGTTCTCCACCTGTCTTCAAGGCGCGTTACGTGGCTCGTGGCTTAATTCTGCGGCAGGGAGTTGACTACTTTCAGACCTTCTCCCCCACCCCGAAGATGACCACTCTTCGGGTACTGCTGCATGTTGCTGCTCACCGTGACTACGAGCTGTACTCCCTCGACTTCAGCACAGCTTTCTTGCAGGGCAGCCTGCACGAGGAGATCTGGCTGCGTCGCCCACCTGGCTTCACTGGGTCTTTCCCTCCTGGTACCCAGTGGAGTCTCCGGCGTCCAGTCTACGGTCTCCGCCAGGCGCCACGTGAGTGGCACGACACACTGAGGACTACGCTGGCGGCACTTGGGTTTGGTCCTTCTACTGCCGACCTGTCGCTGTTCTGCGCACCGACACCTCTCTGCCGCCGTTCTACATCCTCGTGTACGTCGACGACTTGGTCTTTGCCACAGCTGACACTGCTGGACTCGCCTACGTGAAGTCCGAGCTGCAGAAGAGACACACGTGCACTGACCTGGGTGAACTACGCAGTTACCTTGGCTTGCAGATCACCGGGGACAGAGCACGCCGCACCATTACCCTGACTCAGTCACACATGGTGCAGCAGGTCCTTCAGCGCTTCGGCTTCACGTACTCCTCGCCTCAGGCCACTCCTCTGCCTACTCGCCACTCACTCTCAGCTCTGCCTTCGGATGAGTCCGTAGAGTCGAGTGGTCCGTATGCAGAGCTTGTTGGCTGCCTCATGTACCTGATGACCTGCACACGACCTGACCTTGCATACCCTCTTAGCATTCTCGCACGCTATGTTGCTCCTGGGAGACACCGACCAGAGCACATGGCTGCAGCGAAGAGGGTGTTGCGCTACTTGTGCAGTACGTCGGGCATGGGGCTAGTGCTTGGAGGGCGGAGTCTAGTGGTCCTCACTGGGCACGCGGACGCTTCTTGGGCTGACGACCAGGCTACGCAGCGGTCGTCACAGGGTTACACCTTCAGCCTTGGTTCTGGCTCTGTTTCGTGGCGAGCTACCCGCTCGTCTTCTGTTCTCGGCTCCAGTTGTGAGGCTGAGATCTACGCCGGGGCTATGGCTGCTCAGGAGCTTCGCTGGCTCACCTACCTGCTGACCGACCGTGGAGAGCTGCCTCGTTCTCCTCCAGTCCTGTACGTAGACAACAAGGCCATGCTGGCCTTGTGTCGAGAGCAGCGACTGGAGCACAGGACAAAGCACATTGCTCTCTGCTACTTTCTTGCTCGTGAGCTACAGCAGCGTGGACAGTTGTGACAAAATTAGAAGGAAGAAAGAGAGTTGAACTAGCAGAAATGGGGATACAAATAGCAAACCCTAGAAGGGTTGTACTCGCTATAGAGCACCCCACTACAGGCTAGAACATAAGATAATATTCTGACAAGTTGCGACTTGCGTACGTGGCCTCTGAGGCCAACACTGCTGATGTCTTCACCAAGGCACTTGCGCCTTGTGATCATCAGCGTTGCTGCACGCAAGCGGCCCCCTCAGGTCTCCACGACAGACGATGAGAAAAGGGGGGGGGGGGGGGGGGGGGGGGGGGGGGGGTGGAGAAAGGGGCCTACCACGGGCCTGATAGGATCGGAGGTAGGGGCACGGGGCCGGGACAGTGAGGGCGGCAGGTGGGCCGCAAAGGTAGGGCGGCGGGTAGCCGCGAAGGTAGGGCGGCGGGTGGGCCGCGATGGTTGGGCGGCGGGTGGCCGCGAAGGTGGGGCGGCAGGTGGCCGCGAAGGTAGGGCGGCGGGTGGCCGCGAAGGTAGGGCGGCGGGTGGGCCGCGAAGGTAGGGCAGCGGGGCCGCGATGGGTCCCCGTCGCCCGTCGCGGCGCCTCCAGAAGGCGACGCGACGAACGACGGGGCAGACGCCCGCCGCGCGCCTCGGGGCGCACAGCGGGCAGAGAACTGCCGCGCACCTCGGGGCGCACGGCGGGCAGAAAACCGCCGTGCGCCTCGGGGCGCACGGCGGGCAGAAAACCGCCGCGCGCCTCGGGGCGCACGGCGGGAAGGAGAAAGTTGTAGCGGAAGCGTGGAGCTGGTAACCCACCCACAGGATCGATCCAAGAGGATCGACCTGCTCTGATAGCATGACAAAATTAAAAGGAAGAAAGAGAGTTGAACTAGCAGAATTGGGGATACAAATAGCAAACCCTAGAAGGGTTGTACTCACTATAGAGCACCCCACTACAGGCTAGAACATAAGATAATATTCTGACAAGTTGCGACTTGCGTACGTGGCCTCTGAGGCCAACACTGCTGATGTCTTCACCAAGGCACTTGCGCCTTGTGATCATCAGCGTTGCTGCACGCAAGCGGCCCCCTCAGGTCGCCACGACAGACGACGGGAAAAGGGGGGGGGGGGGGGGGTGGAGAAAGGGGCCTACCACGGGCCTGATAGGATCGCAGGTAGGGGCACGGGGCCGGGACAGTGAGGGCGGCGGGTGGGCCGCAAAGGTAGGGCGGCGGGTAGCCGCGAAGGTAGGGCGGCGGGTGGGCCGCGATGGTTGGGCGGCGGGTGGCCGCGAAGGTGGGGCGGCGGGTGGCCGCGAAGGTAGGGCGGCAGGTGGGCCGCGAAGGTAGGGCAGCGGGGCCGCGACGGGTCCCCGTCGCCCGTTGCGGCGCCTCCAGAAGGCGACGCGACGAACGACGGGGCAGACGCCCGCCGCGCGCCTCGGGGCGCACAGCGGGCAGAGAACCGCCGCGCGCCTCGGGGCGCACGGCGGGAAGGAGAAAGTTGTAGCGGAAGCGTGGAGGTGGTAACCCACCCACAGGATCGATCCAAGAGGATCGACCTGCTCTGATAGCATGACAAAATTAAAAGGAAGAAAGAGAGTTGAACTAGCAGAAATGGGGATACAAATAGCAAACCCTAGAAGGGTTGTACTCGCTATAGAGCACCCCACTACAGGCTAGAACATAAGATAATATTCTGACAAGTTGCGACTTGCGTACGTGGCCTCTGAGGCCAACACTGCTGATGTCTTCACCAAGGCACTTGCGCCTTGTGATCATCAGCGTTGCTGCACGCAGCTGGGTCTTGTGCCTGTCTTGCCTCACTTGTTCACTTCTTGACCTTGTTTGTACCTTGACCTATATATACTCTTGTTCTTGCTTGCTTGACTCTTGTATATCTCTATATATGATCTTGCATGTGAACTGGCCTTGTGGCCCTTGAACTTGTGCTCGGAATGCGTGGTGACTTTGTGATCCACCCTGAGCTTGGCTTTGCTTTGCTTGACTGGTCTTGTGACCCCTTGTTCTCCCCCACTTTGCCTATGGGGGTGTGTCAGAATATTATTGCTTACTTATTTCTGTAGGCTATAGTGGGGTATCCCATAGGGGGGTACAACCCAACTAGGGTTTCCTATTTGTACTCACTTCATTCATAGTTCACTCATTCTCTCATTCACTTCTTCTCAGCGCTAGTATGTGAGGGCAAAGTAAGTTGATTAAAGCAAAGAGATACAAGATTATATAAGAGTACAAGGAATACGAGGAGAGACGGTTGTAACTACTTTTACTGTTGCTGTTGCGGTTCGATACAGTGACGACTCGGGCAACTGCTCTGTAGCGAGTCAGTTGTGTGTCCTTGCTGTCGCGCTGTGCTTGTCAAGTCAAAGGTCACTGACCTTTGACATTCGAGTAACCTCCAGCGGTTACTTCAACCTCCGAGGGTTGACTCGCCGGTGCTTCGATATGCATCGCTTCGCTTGTGCCTTAGTGTTTCGACACGACAGAAGCGCTTAGGTCCGATTGTTTCCAACAAAGACTAACCGATGTTCGCTGTTTGAACACAATGTTGGTGTCATTAACAAGCCCTTGAAGAGTAGATCCAGAAAATTGATTCAGATTGCTGAACTGGTTGAGGTAAGCTGGAAATTTGCTGAATCAAAGTTCTCCTAAGGAGCCATGGCGGAGAGCTGTCTACGAAATGTGTTGTTTGTCGCTCGCATTCTGTCGTGAGCATGTATTTTTTTAGTTTACATATTCGCTTTTATTTCCGTTGCAGCTGTGCTCTGTATCCAACTGCTCTGTGGCGCGTTGCTGCCACACTTTTTCTGCAGCACTTTCTGTCGAGCTTAGACGGAAACCGTCGACGGAGGCGGTTTTCTTCGACGGACGTGGGGGAGCAGCTGACGTCATCGCCAGCTCGTGCGGTGACCACTCCGAGCTGGCGGGCTCGTTTCGGGCGGGCTGGGGGGTCGGCTCCCGCCCCTCGCGTGCTTCGCTAGGCGACGGCGGGAAAAAGAAAATCCCTCCGAGGAAAACCCGCAGGGGCGAACGGGGTTTCTCGGAGGGATTCGGGCGAGGTCTTCCCACTACATCAGACAAGGCACCAGGTCCATGACGTCATTTACCTCGGACAGATGTACGCGGCTCCGATGCTGTAATGCAGAAAATAGTCAACGCGAGGGAGGGAAGGTGCGGTACTACTGAGATGAGTCACCTTTCATCAAACGTGTTCCTACCTAGGCCGAGCATGTCGATTCGATCCCTAGGCACGTCTTCCTCGAGTACCAACTGTGGCGATCACTATAGCTTTTTGCGGGGCAGTCCCAAGGCGCTCGCCGCGACAGGCCGACTCGGAATGGCAAGTGTCAGTCCGGAACTTGCTCCGAAACGTCCGACGCTTGCAACCTATTCAGGAATTAATTATTCTTAGGACGTGGGCAGATGAATCACTGTTGCATCTCTCGCCGCACATTGCGGGCTCGCCCAGGGGCCGCGAGTGTTCTCTGTATCGCGATTCCCCTGCCGATTACGATTCTCCTCTACCTCATAGCCTTCGTTCGCGTCGCTGACGGTCTCGTCGACTGTTATAACCTAACGAATCCAAGTAAGATGCTCCGCCTCTCCCGTTCTTGAAACCGCCGCCATTTACTGTTTCGTCGCTATATTAGTAGTAGTCGAGTCATAAGCACCACTAGTGCTGGGACCCTACTAACCCAGCTTTCGTCCTTCTCTCAGGCGTATTTAGTAGACGTTCACACTTGACTCATTCCCTTATCCCCTTCCTCCTCCTCCCAGTGTAGCCCCCGCAGCCCTTTCGATCACTCGCTGCGTCTTTTAGGGTTTCGTTGCTATTCCGCTCAATAACCCTAAAAAACTCCAATTCTCTTTTGCTATAATCCCTCTTCTTTGGCCGTCGCAGGTGAACCGTCAAACCTCCTCTCGAACCCAAGCTTTGATACAAGCTGTCTAGACCTAGGATGGCGTCGCAAGAAGCTGAACGCGTCGTGCCCACCATGGCCGTACTTATTCCCTTGGCGCGCGTTAGAGCCTGGGGAAGCATTCTTAAGCGACGAGATCTTAACCACCGCATATGGTAGCGGAAATCACGGAACATCGCTTGCGCCAGCGGTCCCAACTCTGGCGGAAGCTTTTGCGACAGCAAGCAGGGTAGCGCCGCCTGCTGACGTGTCAATAGTGAACGGGGTAGCGGGAGTCACGGACATCCTACTGGCAGCTGACGGGTCCCGTTTTTTACGTCTGACATCTGATATTTCCGTGTCGTCTAGTGGCGACGGCGCTTCCGGTACTAGTAGCAATGGTAGTGGTAACAATAGTAGCAGCAGCGGCCCAGGCGTGTCGCAAGCGCTGTGCGAACTCAAACCCGCGGCGCCCACGAGCAACGTGTCGCAGCAGCAGCAGTCCCCGCGCCAGCTGTCCCTCTCGTTCTTTGCGCGCCCCAGCCTGTGCGCGGAGGGGGAAGGGGGCGCGGAAGGGGAGGCGGAGCGGCTGTTGAAGGTGCTGCTGCTGGCAGTTCCGCTGAACGCTTCTGCTGCCGCCGCGGCAGGGGGAGGGGCAGAGGGGGGAGGAGCGGGGGAGCAGGTGTGGGGGGAGTGGCGGGTGGGCGTGCCGTGTGGGGGGAGCAGCGCGAGTTTGTCCGGCGCCTTGCCCTGGTTCCAAGTGGGGCCCCTCCTCTTCCCCCTCCCTGACCCCCCCGATTCCTCCGCCTCTTCTTCCTCCGCCTCTTCGCCTTCCTTGTTGGTAGTGCCTCCAGGGGGAGTGGCGCTGCACTTGGTGATTCGAGGCGTGCAAGGCAGTAACAGCAGCAGCAACAGCAACAGCAGCACTGCCACCGTCGCCACAAGCAGCGTAGTTGCCAGTAGCAGCAGTGACACCAGTAGCGTTGGCGCCAGCACCACCACACTCAGCAGCAGCAGCAGCAGCACCAGCAGCAGCGTTGAAAGCAGCAGCGTTGACAGCAGCAGCAGCAGCAGCAGCGGCTTTACTATCTCCTCCGTGGGCCTCCAGATTCGATCCGCTCTACACCCTCATCTTACCCGCGCTGCATCCGCCCTGAAACGGTTGCTCCGGTTCCCCACACTACCGCGCTCCATGCGCAGAGCAACAACAGGAGTAGGTGCAGAAGCGGCGGCGAATGCGACGATAGTAGAGAGAGTGGGCGTGGCGTCGGAAACTTTTGACTCGACTCAAAAGGCAGCAATGGGGGAAAATGTGAAGATGGTGAAGAGTGAGGGCGTGACGTCGGAAGCGGGGAGCACTTCTATCGACCTTGTGTCTGTCATGCCCACTAGCAGTGAGTGAAAGGCGCTGGGAGGCGGGTTGCAAGGAGGAATAGAGTCCCAGTCCCAGGTGAGTTAGATGGGAAGGTAGGCACGTTCAACAAGCTCCTTTCTTAATATATACCTGAACAAATCATACTTGCTTCTACATTAAGTCATGGCACCTAACGGGTCCACTTTGAGTCCCAGTCCAAGGTGAGTGAGAAGGGGAGGCAGGCACGTTCTGATGGTAAAGCGTGTGGCCATGGCGGCGGAAGCGAGGAGCACTGTCTGTTGTGACTGATATCGTCCTCGTGTCTGTTGTGCCCACCAGCTGTGAGTCACAGAGGTAGCAACGGTTGGCAGGGTCACGAGTGTGCCGCAGGTATTGCAGGAGGAAGCATGCGCGCGGCACAATGAAAGCTTGCCACTTTAGACGTGCAACTAAACGAGCCGGGTAAAACCCGGCTAGTCCTGGTTGGGGCTCGGCCGATTTTTTTCTGGCCCGGGGTCGGACGGACTCAGGGTGTGTTTCTATCCCGTGTCAGATATCAAGTCATGCGGCCTTAGTCTCCAATTTGTCTCTTCCGAACTTCCAATCGCCCCAAAAACGAGCCACTTCGGGTCTTCCGAACCTCCACTTCGTGTCAAACCTAATGTCTGACACGGGATAGAAACGCGCCCTCATTCGTCACTAGTCCAAATGGGATCTTCTGGGTAGAAACAGCCTTGGTTTGGTAGAACGTGGAGAGGGGGTTTGGAATTCGTACCCCACCCAACCCAACTCGTTGAAATCGAAATTCGTAGCTTCCCATCCCACAAATTCGCGTAACAAAATGTTGTCCCCAACCAAACCGCCGCCCCTCAATACCTACCTCCACCGCACAGTATCTAGAAAACCCAACCAAAATTGGAAATTGGCAAGTGAGGTCAATACTAGATCTAGTTCTCGTTTACCTCCTAAATCTCCTAGACGACTCATGATTTCGCGCGCAACATTTATCCAATGACGATTGGCTGTATCTGAGCTAGATGCTTGTTACTAAGCAATTTAGCACACTACATGCTTGACGGATGCATCTTGGATTTAATTCTTGACTTCAATCTTGACTTTTTTGTCCACACCCTCTCTCCTGCGTACAAATGTCGCGACTTTTTCGAAACTCGCCAAGCCCCAAAAAACTGGAGAGTCCCTAAAAAAGCTCGCGCAAAGCCGCGAGTTTCCAACGAGTTAAAATTATCACGCGGAGTAAAGCCCGCTCAACTCGGCCGAGTTTTTTCGGCGGAGAGTCGAACTCGTCAGTCGTCCCTAGACGAGTGCTGGGAAGGAGTGCGCACATGTCTGCGCATTGCTTTACACTGAAAGCATGCGCGTCACACTGAAAGCATGCGCGTCACACTGAAAGCATGGGCGTCACACTGAAAGCATGGGCGGCACGCTGAAAGCATGCGCGGCACACTGAAAGCATGCGCGGCACACACATTCTCAACAGCCAAGTTCTAATTTCCCACAGCCCACTCCCGTGCATGATCAATCCATCCCTCACTTCTGCTCCCACTCTTCCTCCCCCTTCACATCCCCCCATCCCCCGCCACTCCCATCCCCTCCCCCACTGCCCTGCAGCCGACCCCTCTCCTCTCAAGTCGTTCTCCCACTGGCCTCTCTCCAGCGCCCACCCGCTCCTCACAGCCGGCTCAGCTCGCCGCAACCGCTCCTCGCTCTCCCTCACTACGCTCTCCGACCTGAATGCCGCATCCCTCGCGCTGCACCCCGCCCCCTTCGCCCTGCTCGCCCCTGCCACGCCCACCTCCCCCTGCCGCCCCTTCTCCTTCTCCACCTCATTCACCTTCCGCATCTCCTCCCCCAACGCCGCGGGGCTGGGCGGCGAGGGCTTGGCGTTTGTGATGCTGCCGACGCCCACGCTCGGGCTGCCGGGGCCGTCCCTGGGCTACGGGCGCCTGCTGCTGCCCCCGGGGAGCACGACTGCTGCAGCTGCTGCTGCTGATGGTTCCAGTGTCAGCGGTGCAGCTGTGTCATCTCAGGTACACGTCAGTTCAGGTGGGCAGCAACAGCAACCCAGTTTTTCAGGTGGGCATCAAACGGAGGTGGGCAGCAATGCATCAACTCAGGTTGTTACTCTGCTTGTCTTAATATCCTGTAAGAGAACAGCCGAGAAAGAGAGCCTTGCTGGCTTGCTCTTTTGTTCTCCTACTCTGCTGCTCTGCGTATCTGCTTCTCCCCCTTCCCCCCCCCCCCCCCCCTCCGCCCACAGCAGCACAGGAGCCTCGCAGTTAAACACCTGAATCTCTCAACATGCCCCTCCCCCCCCCCCTCCGGCTTCCACCCCTCTATCCACAGCAGCATAGGAGTCTGGCAGTGGAGTTTGACACATGCGCCTCCCCCGAGTTCTGGGACCGGCAGGAGCACCACGTGGGGGTGAACCTGCACGGCAGCATGCTCTCTCTCGCCTCTGCCCCCGTGCACCCCGTCGGCATCGCCTCCCTCAACGCTGGTCAGACCCTCCTCGCCACCATCCAATACAACGCCTCCTCCTCCCAGCTCTCCGTTTGGCTCTCCCCAGCCCCACCCTCCTCCGCTCCCCGCTCGTCCCCTCGCCCCACCCCTTGCTTCCCTCGCTTCCCTGGTTTCCCTCTGTTGCCTCGCTGCTCCTCCTCCTCCTCCTCCTCCTCCTCCTCCTCCTCCTCCTCCTCCTCCTCCTCCTCCTCCTCCTCCTCCTCCTCCTCCTCCCCCTTCTCCCCTCCTCTCCCCCGCTCTGCCGTCCTCACCACGTTCCTGGACACCTGCGAGTGGCTCGGGGGGAACGACCCGGAAGCAGCAGCAGCAGCGCCGCCCCCGGCGCTGTTTGTGGGCTTCACAGCGGCTACTGGCAAGGGGGTGGAGCAGGCGCAGGCGCACGAGGTGCTGGGGTGGAGTTTCCAAGTCGGGGAAGGTGAGATCAGTGGCTAGGTGGGTGGGAATGACTCGGAAGCAGCAGCAGCAGCATCTCCCCCCCCCTCCCCCCTCGCACCCCTGCTGCTGTTTGTGGGCTTCACAGCGGCTACGGGCAAGCAGGTGGAGCAGGCGCACGAGGTGCTGGGGTGGAGTTTCCAAGTCGGGGAAGGTGAGTGAGGTGAGGTGAGGTGAGGTGTCGTGATCCCTGTTTTGAGTCGACTCAAAAGTCAACTCGTTGAGGTGTCGTGATCCCTGTGTTGAGCGTTTTTCAGTGGGGAATGACCCTTGCATTACTATATCACACCGCCTGTGTCACAGGCCCTGTGAGTGAGTAGCTCGACTCCTGTGCTGTGCTCTGCTCTGTTGTAGATCTGGCCTGAGGGTTCTCGCCTGCAGCACTACGGGGCAGAAAAGGGAGGGGGAAGGCCCACACTTTCCAGTGCTTTGTAGTGTCCTTTCCATGTGCTTCCACTCCCATGTCCTTTCCATGTGCTTCCACTCCCATGTCCTTTCTATGTGCTTCCACTCCCATGTCCTTTCCATGTGCTTCCACTCCCATGTCCTTTCCATGTGCTTCCACTCCCATGTCCTTTCCATGTGCTTCCACTCCCATGTCCTTTCCATGTGCTTCCACTCCCATGTCCTTTCCATGTGCTTCCACTCCCATGTCCTTTCCATGTGCTTCCACTCCCATGTCCTTTCTATGTGCTTCCACTCCCATGTCCTTTCTATGTGCTTCCACTCCCATGTCCTTTCCATGTGCTTCCACTCCCATGTCCTTTCCATGTGCTTCCACTCCCATGTCCTTTCCATGTGCTTCCACTCCCATGTCCTTTCCATGTGCTTCCACTCCCATGTCCCCTGTTTTTAACCTTTCCTTACTCCCTCAGCCCTTGCTTACTTCTCCGAAACCCTACTCCACGTTCCGCCCCTCCGCTTATACCCTACCACGGCAACCCCAGGCCATGACTCGGGATGTGATGTCCTCGTGCAAACCTTCACCCTTTCCTCAGCCCCTTCTTTCCCCTCATCCCCTGCTCCCCTGACTCCCCTGCACTCCCCTCTCCCTGTTTCTCACATCACATCACATCACATCACATCATCAACCCCAGCAGCGGAGGATCCGCTTTCGTTTTGGGCGGCAGACTCATTCTCCTTCCCCTACATCACGCCAGCCACTCCCCTGCTGACACGTGGCAGCACAAGGAAGCGTTTCTTCGCCGCCGACCTCTCAGTCGCTGCTGACGTGGCAGCCACCAGCCAATCAGACGATCCCGCCCCTGGAGCCATCTTCTTCCCTCGCCGTCTCCCCCTCCTCTACTCCTCCTCCTCCCCTCCCTTCCCTCCTCCTCCCTTTCCTCGTCCTCGCAGCTCCCCCCTCTCCTCTCCTTCCTCCTCCCTTTCCCAACCCTCAGCCACCGAACCTCTCACCGAACCTCCCGCCTGCATGGCCCGCTCTTTCACCTTCACATACGGCTTCTCCATTAATGTATCCGCGTCTCAAGGTCTCGCATTCGTTATAAGCACGCATGCGAGTGTGGGCCTAGGCGGGGCATATATGGGGTACGGCCGCGACCCGTCCTCGCGTCTTGCTAATGGCAGCTGGCCGGACGGCGCGCGGAGTGTAGCTGTGGAATGGCGCACTGTAACAAACCCAGAAGGCAATAGAAATGGTGTAAAGGTCGGGGTGACCACTGATTTCAACATGACATCGGTTTTTGCAAAGGAATCGCCTTATGTGATGGAGCCCGAGGAGGTGTGGCAGATGAGGGTTGACTATAACGGGAGCAGCAAGGAGATGGCGCTGAGCTGGTACCGGCCCCCTTTTCTACGAGGCATCATGAGGGTCACTATAGACCTGTGTGCTGCTCTCAGTGGGGCCTCTGACAGCAGCGGAAGCAGCAGCAGCAGCAGCAGTGGCAGCAGCAGCGGTGTGACGGACCCAGCATCGCCATCCTTCGGGCAGCTGTTCGTGGGGTTCACCAGCGCTGCTCTCCCTCCCCCCCCTGGCCGCCTGCCTTCCCCCGTCACTCTCTTCTCCTGGACCTTCAGATTCACAGGTAAGGGGGGGCGAGGGGGCGAGATGTGGGGGAGGGAAAGAGAGAAAGGGTAGCAAGCCACGTGCCCTGCCAGGCTGCCCCCGTTGGCTTCTCCACCTACCTTCTGGTCTACAAATAGGGAGAGGGGAGGAAGGATTGAGAAATAGGGGTAGCAAGCCATGTTCCCTGCCTGCCCCCGTTGGCCTCTCCTCCTGGACTTTTCGGTCTACAGCTAGGGAGAGGGGACCTCTCCTGTCTCAAACCTGGTCTACGTCTCTATCCTCACTGTCTCACTTTTCGTGGCAGTTGAGGAGCCTTCGTCCCACCCCAACAGACACTGACCCATGCAAGGCCTCTCCACTGCTGCCCTGTGCCATGCCTGCATGCTTTATGCTTCATCCTTTCCCCGTTTTTATCCTCTCTCCCCCCAACAGACACCGACCCCTGCAAGGGTTATCCAATGCTACCCTGTGGAACGGACGTGTGCAGCAAGGCACCTGCCCCATGGCAGGGATGAGCATATAGCAGAACGGGAATTTTTTTTGCTAAAGAATGTTCGGCCCGAACATGTTCGCCGTTCAGGCGAACATGTTCGGTGTTCGCCAGCCGCGATGTGCCGAGCTGCGTCGAACAAGAACATGTTCGTGTTCGACACGTCACATCGACGAACACCTCAGGTGTTCGTTGACGAAAAGGCCGCGACCTAATTTAGGGTTAGGTCGCGGCCAATTCAATTGTGGCTCATTTTTTCGAGCTGAGCGACCATGTCGCTACTAGGCATGATCATTAGGCCCGACCCGACCCGACTTGGGCGGGCCAGCCGGGTTCCGGGTCGGGTCGGGTCGGGTCGGCACTTCTAGGAATCCTGGCCCGACCCGGGTATCGGGTGCCGGGTCAGGCTTGACCCGCCCCCGGGTCGGGTCGGGTAGGGGCCGGGTCGGGTCGGGTCGGGCCAGAACCCCATATGCAGTGTGTAGGGGTTTCCTCACTACTGTCTAGTGTTGCAAAGATTGAATGTTTGTGTAATATATTATTATATGAACGTCCTCCCTTCTGTAAATTAACTATTCAAAGTTGCGTAAACTGTTACACGTGTTTGGAAAAATCCTACAAAGGCCTAAAAGCTAACGGAGTCAACTAGTAGTTTGACGCACAGGAATAAGAACCAATCAAGTTTTGGTCCGATCACGTTATCTGATGAAGTTAAGGGCATAAGCATCAATTACGAACAAATATCACAACCCCCTTGATTGATCCTCCACTCCCAGGGTGGGATTGGCCGTTGAGGTGCCCTTGGGAGAGAGAGTCCCCGAAGGGTGGTGGTCCTGCCACGTCTTAATCAGCATGGAAGCACGCACTTGGCCAGCTGCCAGTCGGTGTCGCTGCCAAGTAATGATGTTCCTGCTCTGTGAGAATGCGCGCTCACTCGCTGCTGACGAAGCCGGTACCCCCAGATAATCTTTAGCCATCGCCCTCAAGCCCTTCAGTGTCTCCCTGCTGCGCCAATACTCCAATGCGCTTCCACCCCTCTGCCTCCCCTCTGCGAGGTACTGATCCACCTCATCCTGTGGATCCTCCCCCTCTTCGGCCTCCATGGCGTCCCACGCAGCGAACAACTGAGACTGGATGCTGACATTTGTCGATGCATCCACAGCCCCACCCCCTGCCGACGCATGCACCCCTGCACCCCTCGCACTAGTCACTTCCCCACCATCTCCCAGCGCCGTGGTGCTGGCTGCCTGGTACTCTGGAAGGCGCGCCCGTACCAGGGCCTTCACCCTATCAGGGCCTAGCTCCAGTGTTTCCCCTCTCGAATTCCCCTCTGCTGCCCTGGCTCGGTGCTTGAAGGGTGCGAGCTTCTGGCGCGGGTCCAAGAAAGTGGCTATCGCTGCCTCCTCGCTCACACCCCCCATGTGTCGCTCCAGCTTGCTCAGAGCAGCAGTGATCAGCGATGAGCGCAGAGGGGAGATGCCAGGAGTGAGTTGTGCCTTCTCCTGCAGATCAATCAGCGCGTTGTACTGCGGTACAACGGCTGAGAGGGTAGGGTACATGGAACCCTCGGCGAAGAGGGTGACTTGCTCGAATGGGGTGAGGAAGTCTCGGAGCTCGGCGAGGTCGTTCCAGTGCGCATCCGTCAACCTGATGGCGTCCCACGCCTTCTTAGTCTCCTTGCTGATGGATGACTGGTATGGGTCACATGGGTTGTAAAGATGGAGGCACAGCATGGGATGGTGGCACATGCATGGGATCATGGCACATGCATGGGATGGTGGCACATGCATGGGATGGTGGCACATGCATGGGATGGTGGCACATGCATGGGATGGTCGCACATGCATGGGATGATGGGACATGCATGGGATGGTGGGACTAGCATGGGATAGTGGCACATGCATGGGATGGAGGCACATGCATGGGATGATGGGACATGCATGGGATGGTGGCACATGCATGTGATGGTGGCACATGCATGGGATGATGGGACTAGCATGGGATGGTGGGACTAGCATGGGATGGTGGCACATGCATGGGATGGTGGGACTAGCATGGGATGGTGGGACTAGCATGGGATGGTGGCACATGCATGGGATGGTGGGACTAGCATGGGATGGTGGCACATGCATGGGATGGTGGCACATGCATGGGATGGTGGGACTAGCATGGGATGGTGGCACATGCATGGGATGGTGGCACATGCATGGGATGATGGGACATGCATGGGATGGTGGCACATGCATGGGATGGTGGCACTATTCAAGCCATGCCCACGTACCCCCATTCGCCATAGTCACAAGTGAATGTGAATCCTACCATACGTACATCTGAATCGTCGAAAAACATGGCAATGGGCATGCGCAGCTCGAAGCCTCTGTTCACCATGTGGAGTGTAGAACCCCATCTCGTCAGGCAGTCCACGATCAAACGCAACGGACCCGATGGTCGCCGAGAACCCGGAGGACCCTGGGGCCGGGTCGCCGCGTATCCCTTCTGGAGCTCGAAGAAACGATCTGTGCGCAGTGTGGACCAGCCGATGTAGTTCGCCACGTCTCGCAGCCTCTTGAGTGGCTCGGCCACCTCGTCAACCTTCAGTGCAGCTTGCACTGCAAGGTTGACGACGTGCGCCACGCACCTGTTGGGGCAATGCATTGTGCAGAGTGGGTTTAATGTCACTGTACCACATAAGCACTGCCATAACAAACATGGTGGACTACGCCAACAGTTTATAGCATACCCTTACGGAGACAGCCCCATAGTACCTGAAGTGCCTCCAGCGACCGAGCAGTGGTGGGTGCCTGGGCCGTGAGCCCGGCCTGGCGTCAGGTACACCGGCCAGCAGACGCATCGCCCTGCTGTTGTTCTCGGCGTTGTCACACGTCACGGCGAACAGCATCTTCTCCAAGCCCCACTCCCTTAACACCTCCTCCAGTTCATCGGCTATCAAGTCCCCCGTATGAGAGCCCTTAAGCTCCCTGAAGTCTATAACAGTCTGTTTCAGCTGGAAATCGCTGGTGACATAGTGGGCAGTCACCCCCATGAAGGCCACGTTGTTCTCACCGGTCCAGATGTCAAAGGTGAGGGACATCCTTCCCACCAGGCCATCACCCACCAGTAGCTGCCGCATGTCCTCCCTAGCAGCCTCCCCATATGCCTGCATGTCCCGTGCCAAGCGATGGCGTGAGCCGAGCAGTAGCGCAGCTCCCGGGTTCAGCATCTGGACAAATGCTTTGAACTGTAACGCAGGAGTCAAAGGATGTCGGTAAAAGGATTATGAAGATGCTTCGGGATTAGCCAACAGAATGCAGTGCGGCTGCCCTACACTAATATGACCACCTCAATACGAAGATGAACATGACTAACGGCAAGAGAACGGCGTCACTCACCTCGCGACACTCAACAAGTCGAAACGGAAGGCCAGCTGCCGCAAATAGCTGCACCAATCCCTCGCGCAGCTGCTGGCCATGAACACGCGGCGTGACGAATGCGGCCATGCTCATCTGCCTACTCCCACCAGCCTCGGCTCCGCCGGTCACTGCGCTGTCTGGTGTCTGTACAATCCTGGGCCATGTGGCTGCATGCTCCCAAGGCCACGCTGTCTGGTCGAGGACATCCGGACCCCATCCCCCATCGGGAAACGTCAGGTTGTCTGGCTTGTTTAGATCCTTGAAACGCCGACACCATATCTGCAGACTGGGGTAGTGGCTCCTCTTGAGGTGTCTCTTCCCCGTGCTCGTGCAACTACCTTTCCAACTAATCTTCTTCTTGCAAATCTTGCAATTCCTAGCTTCTTTCATATCCTTCTCACTGAACATGCCACGAACCAGCCCGGGTTCTGCATTCCTAAGCACCTCCTCAGTCCATGGGTCCAGCTCCTCGTCGGTAGGGGTCCTGCCCGCCCTGTCGGACCTCTGGCTTGCAATCACAGCAGCAGCTCCAGCCCCCGCAGACCCACCCAAAGGTGCACCACCTGCCGCAGCGGCGGAGGTACCTGCCCCTGCTGCGCCCGACCCATCAGAACCACCCGCGGCTGCCCCCTGCGGCTGCGCATTCGACGCCGGCCCGGCCCCTCCAGCTCCCGACCCCACAGGCCCACTCGTGCGTGGCCTCTTTGCTGCTGCACCGCTGCCACGCGCGCCACTGCCACCAGCCTGGCCCCCTCCTCTCCCTCCCCAACCCTCATCACCCGATCCTCCACTCGTGCCGGCCGCCTCCCCCGGAGCCGGCCTCCAATCCGTTTCCTTCTCCTTTCCCCGTGTTCCTTGCTCCTCCGTCACTGGGCCAGGTCCTTGAGACTCCCATTCCCGCACCTCTTCACGCCTCCTCGTCGCGATTGCATCGTCCCACCCAATTTCCTGCCCATTGAAGACGCTTCCCAAGCGAAAACTGGCCCTGGAGGCCGGTGTCGGGAGGCCTCCAAGCGAAGCCCCAGGAATAGCGCGTGAGCTGTCTTCTTCCCCCTCCATTCGCGTGCAAGCGGCGTCGATTACGTTTCGGACCTTGGAGTCGCGACGTTTTTGTAATGGCGCAGGCCTAGACAATTGGGGGTCGCGTCCCTATCGATGCGGGCGTGGTAGGCGCGCAGTGGGTGATTTGAACGCGGGGCCAGAGTTTAGTCGCGTGTGAGAGCTAGGAATAACTAAGTCTATAAAATCGAAAATCTGTGGTTGGTCACGTTAGGCTAAGAAGTCCATTCCGCCAACATGGAAACACTTGAAATAGGGTTCCTGAACATGGGCGCTGGTTTAGAGAGTTCTAGAGCTTGGGAACGAGCAATTGCTAGCTGCCTAGGTATTGCAGATCGAAGTCAATGTCGAGGGAACAAAAAAACCCTAGACATTGACTTCGCGATCTGCTTTAGTTCGAATTGTCGTGGGAGGGAAACTCGGGTCGGGCCAAATGCCCGACCCGACTTAGGGCGCGGTACCCGATTTCGAGTCGGGTCAAATTTCGGGTCAAAAACTGACCCGACCCGACCCGACCCGGTTTCGGGTGTCGGGTCGGCCCGACCCGGCCGGGTAAACCCGACCCGACCCGCCCGGGTCAACGCTTCAAAATGCCTGACCCGACCCTGGTCAAAACCCGGGTCGGGTCGGGTCGGCCCGACCCGCCGGGGCAGGATGATCATGCATAGTCGCTACCACTAGCCCGCCCAGCCCACTACCACCTGCCACACCCACACCTTCTAGTACTAGCCTAGTGCCTAAATTTCTTTCAACTATGGCGTTTAGGGTTTAGGGTGATTTCGATGCTTAACAATAGAACGTGACATCTACTCCAAACTCATAAGTTGAAGTAGCGGGATACCATTAGGGTTTCCACCGTCGAAGAGGGTTCACCGTTAGGCAGTGTTGTTATCAAGTGTTTTGTCATGCCAAGCCTTCCGAGGCGAACACGAACATGTTCCTGGCGAACATGTTCCTGGCGAACATGTTCCTGGTGAACATGTTCGTGTTCGCCACAGTGTTCGAAATGTTCGCCTCTCCAGGCGAACTTCGAACACCCCTTCTGGCGAAACCTGTTCGGCGAACCGAACAGTGTTCGGTTCGCCGAACGGCCATGTTCGAGCCAAGGCGAACGCGAACATGTTCGAGTTCGCCTCGTGCTCATCCCTACCCCATGGGGTGAGACCCCTTAACCTCGTGTCTCATACCCTCTCTCTCCTCACTCTCCAACTGTCTCGCTCATTCCCTTCATCCCCTTCTCCTTTTAACAGACACCGACCCTTGCACGGGTTCTCCAGTGCTGCCCTGTGGAACCGGTGTGTGCACCAAGGCGCCTGCCCCATGGGACCCCTCTATCCTCGTGCCCTCCTGCAAGTGCCCCTTCAATCTCCCCTCCTTCGAGCCCTCGCACCTCTCCGGCCTTCCCTCCTGCTTCCCCGGTGAGTCGTGGAGTGCGGTAAGTGAGAGGTGTAGTGCGGTAAGTGATAGGTGGAGTGCGGTAAGTGATAGGTGGAGTGCGGTAAGTAATAGGTGGAGTGCGGTAAGTGATAGGTGGAGTGCGGTAAGTGATAGGTGGAGTGCGGTAAGTGATAGGTGGAGTGCGGTAAGTGATAGGTGGAGTGCGGTAAGTGATAGGTGGAGTGCGGTAAGTGATATGTGGAGTGCGGTAAGTGATAGGTGGAGTGCGGTAAGTGATAGGTGGAGTGCGGTAAGTGATAGGTGGAGTGCGGTAAGTGAGAGGTGGAGTGCGGTAAGTGATAGGTGGAGTGCGGTAAGTGATAGGTGGAGTGTGGTAAGTGATAGGTGGAGTGCGGTAAGTGATAGGTGGAGTGCGGTAAGTGATAGGTGGAGTGCGGTAAGTGATAGGTGGAGTGCGGTAAGTGATAGGTGGAGTGCGGTAAGTGAGAGGTGGAGTCCGGTAGGCAAGGCACCTGCCCCATGAAACCCCTCTATCCTCCTGCTCTCCTGCAAGTGCCCCTTCAACCTCCCCTCCTTCCAACCTCCCCTCCTTCCAACCTCCCCTCCTTCCAACCCTCTCACCTCACCTCTCCGGCCTGCCCTCCTGCTTCTTCGGTGAGTCATGGAGTGCGGTCGGCGAGGGGTGGAGTGCGGTCGGCGAGGGGTGGAGTGCGGTAGGTGAGACTTGGAGTGCGGTAAATGAGAATCGGAGTACTGTAGGTGCCCTTTTGGTTTGTTTGTGTATTGCATTCGTTCGCGATTCACAAGATTCGATAAAATGCAAAAGTGTGTGTATCATTCGATTCTCAAAAATCCTTAATCAACCTCCTTTCTTCTTCTTTTGCTCCTGAAATCTCTCAAAAGTGTGTGCTTTAATGAACCTGCTCCTGGAACACCCCTTTTCCTCCTTTCCGCTTGTTTCCCTCCCACCCACCTCCTTTCCCCTCCCCCCTTCTTCCCCTTCCTCCTCATTTCCCATTTCTCCCCCACTCTCATTCTCCACCCCCCTTTCCCCTTCCCCCGTGGGCCCCATCCCCCGTCCCCCTGTCCCATCTTCCCACCATCCCCTCCTCCCCCCCTCCCTTACCAGATTCCTTCAGGTGCCGCCATTTCATTCGCAACCCGTGTGCCCCGGGGGTGTGCATTGATGACATAGACGGCACCTACTCCTGCCTCTGCCCCTCGCCCTTCTTCGCGTTCTACTTCTATTCGAAAGGCACTGCCCGCTGTAACCAGTGTGCGTAACAACACTTGCTATTTGCCGCTGTCCCCAAAGGGGAAGTTGGGAGGAGGGGGGGGGGGAGTGGGTGAACCTCTGCCTCTGCCCCTCGCCCTTCTTCGCCTTCTACTTCTATTCGAAAGGCACTGCTCGCTGTAACCAGTGTGCGTAACACTTGCTACCTGCCCCTGCCCTCAAAGGGGAAGTGTGTGGGTATTCCTCCTCCCCCCTCTCTGCCCCTCACCCTTCCTCGCCTGAGACTCCTTCCTCGCCTGAGACTCCTTCCTCCCCTGAGACTCCTTCCTCCCCTGAGACTCCTTCCTCCCCTGAGACTCCTTCCTCCCCTGAGACTCCTTCCCCCCCTGAGACTCCTTCCCCAGAGCCACTGCCCGCTGTTACCTCTGTGGGCAACACTCACTCTTGCTTGCTTGCTTACTACCTACCCCTGCGCCCCACGTGGAAAATGTTGTCTTGCATAAGCCGTGGCTGAGAGCCTGAGTCTGAAGCACCACTTGCTCTGCTCAACTTGCTCACAGCCCTTGATTTCCGCGTGCTTTTGATTTCCGCGTGCTTTTGATTTCCGCGTGCCTTTGATTCACCTGCCTTTGATTCACCTGCCTTTGATTCACCTGCCTTTGATTCACCTGCCTTTGATTTTCACCTTATGCCTCTCTACCCCCTCACCTACCCCTCACACACACCACCACTCTCACTTTGCCCCGTGCCTGCATGCCTGCCCCCCATGCATACCCCGTGCATGCATGCCTGCCTGCATGCCTGCCTGCCTGCCTGCCTGCCTGCCTGCCCCCCATGCATACCCCGTGCATGCATGCATGCCTGCCTGCCTGCCTGCCCCCCATGCATACCCCGTGCATGCCTGCCTGCCTGCCCCCCATGCATACCCCGTGCATGCATGCATGCCTGCCTGCCTGCCTGCCCCCCATGCATACCCCGTGCATGCCTGCCTGCCTGCCTGCCTGCCCCCCATGCATACCCCGTGCATGCATGCCTGCCTGCCTGCCCCCCATGCATACCCCGTGCATGCATGCCTGCCTGCCTGCCTGCCTGCCCCCCATGCATACCCCGTGCATGCATGCCTGCCTGCCCCCCATGCATACCCCGTGCATGCATGCCTGCTTGCCTGCCTGCCTGCCCCCCATGCATACCCTGTGCATGCATGCAGTGCGATTGTTTGAGCTGCGAATGCCCTCCTTCCTGTCTCCCTACGGCCTCACATGCCCTCTCATCCTCAACACTTACGGACTCACCCAAGCGGCCTTCTTCCGCCAAAATAAGGTCCTTCTTCGGCTTCTTCAGACAGAACAAGGACGTAAAGGCTTTAGTCTGGCTGTAAAGGTGAAGAAAGGTGAAGGCTGGCTGGCTCCAGTTGGGTCTGGGGTCAACATCATATCTCATGTCACATCGAACGAATCCCTTTCGAGAAATCTCGAAAGTGGCTTCAATATAGGCTAGGCTGTGGTCGGTTGGGTATCAGCACGTTTCATGTCACATCGCATCGCATCGCATCGCATCGCATCACATCGCATCACATCAAATCGCATCGCATCGCATCGCATCGCATCGCATCGCATCACATCACATCAAATCACATCACATCACAGCTGACTTTCTGAGTCAACTGAAAAGGCGCGTCCAAGGTTCAAAAATACGACCGTATTTTTGATTTTTTGCCGTAAATTACGGAATCGTAAATCACGGTCGTAAATTACGGTAAAAAACGGTAAATCATTGTATTTTAATGTTGGTGCAAAAATACGGTCGTAAATTACGACCGAAATTTTGATACCGAGTTTGCAATAGCGAATTTCGGCGTTTCACAACCGTCACCCTGGGTCAGAAACATTTGTGCGGCCAAATGCACACGTGTTGGTTTTTTTTCCCGAGTCGCGCATGTCAGGTATTTCTCGAGGCGCGACATTTGGTTTTTTGGCGAACGGATTCCTGCTCTGTTGCCTTGACGAAATGTCAGTTTGCGCATTTCGCCGAAGCGCAAATATATAAATTTGCGCGATGCGGTAAACTGTACATTTGGCGAACCGTTGTCACCCGTCAACCCGTTTCGTCAGGTCGGTGGGACGATTCGCGAGCTTTTCGTTTTTTTCGCCCGCGTGCGCGACACAACCGAACTTTGCGCTGCGAAACCATTTTAACCAATAGCGTAACGCGTTAGCCCAATCCCCATCCCATCCCATCCCACCCCTTCTGCCTTTTCCTTTCGCCAAAGCAACACAACCAAATCTAGCAAGGCACAAAGAGCAGGGCAAACAACCTACTCGACAAGTACATCTTAGCTTAGTAGGCATTTTACTGCTGCAGTCAAGCAAGTGCAGTATTCCACCATGGTTAGACCGTTCTCGGAGGTGTGGGAGCACGTGACGAAGGTCACATCTCCTAACGGCGTAGTTACCGCGACATGCAGCTATTGCCCTGCTACCGTGACCCCAAATGCCACTCGTATTCGAGAGCACATCTACGGGACCCCTCGCTCAAAGGAGAAGAACGTGACGCCGTGTCCGTCCGAATTTGCCAAACGGCTACGAGAAGCCGCCGAAAGGGATCGGTCTTCCACACCGTCAAGTTCCAACCGTGCCTCCTCCACCTCCACAACGGTCGAGATGCCGCCCGCAAGGCGTTCTAGGCAGCGGGACATCCGCGATATGGCGGATTCCGTTGCCTGCGCGCGTTTGGACTACCTGTGGGCGGCAGTTGTGGCTGAAAATGATCCTGCCTTCAACGTCTCCAAGTCTCGTGCGCTACAGGCCTTCGTTGACGCGGCTGTCGTCTACGCGAAGCCCTACACACTCCCAACCCCTTACAAGGTGTCCGGATCTCTCCTCGACAAGCTAAGGGCGGACGCCGAGGAGCTTGTGAGGCCGTTGAAGGAGAGTTGGAAGACGACCGGGTGCAGTCTCTCGGTGGACGGGTGGACGTGCTTGAAGTCCCGCGCGATGGTGTGCGTCATCGCCCTCAACGACACCGCGCCCGTCATTGTGGACATCGTCGACTCGAAAACCGCGAAGAAAACGGGGGATTACCTCGCGGGTCTCATCGGCAAGTCCATCTCCGAAGTGGGGAAAGATCTCGTGGTCCAGGTCATTATGGACAACGCCTCTAACAACCGATCTGCGGCTGAGAAGCTTAAGGTGGAGTTTCCCGGGATTTTCTTCACCAATTGCGCCGCCCACTGCTTGGATCTTATGCTTCACGACTTTGGGAAAGTCAAGCCCATCAAACTCGTCTTGGAGCAAGTTCATCGGGTCGTCATGATGATCAAGGGCAGCGCCTCGGCCGTCGTTCTATTCCGCGAGCTTTTTACCAAGCTTTCGTTGGTGCGGCCGGGTGCGACACGTTTCGGCACGCAAGTCATCATGCTACGCCGATTCTTGGAGGTGAAGAAGGCGCTCCAGGAGATGGTCATCAGCGATGAATGGAAAGGGGTGGCGGTGGCGCAGAAGACCGAAGGGCAGGAGGTGCGGACGCTTCTTCTCGACGACGTATTTTGGGACTGCGTGTCTGCGATGCTCGGCCTCCTCACGCCGGTTTATGAAGTGCTAAGGGTGGTTGACACGCGGGCGCAAATCATGGGCCAAATCTATGGCCTTATGATTGACATCACGGTCAAGACTCGGGTAGCTGCAGAGGCCGCCGGTAAGTGCAAGGCTATTTATTGGTTTTCCTACTCCTTGATCCAAAACTGTGATGCGAGATCATGCCGCGCATGCCAATCCCTACATTAACGAAAACCACCTCCATTCTCACCGTGAGCAGCGGCGGTGTTCGTCAAGAAGACGGGTCTGCTCTTGGCCAAGGACAAGAGCTCCTTCATCACATCCATCAAGGGCATCCTTGCCAAGCGTTGGGACGGGCAACTCCACAACTCCCTGCATGCCCTCGGATGGCTTCTTAATCCCCGCAACCAATATGCGGGGGAGGTGAGAACGGATGCGGAGGTGAGGAAGGGGGCCAACGAGGTGATTGATGCCCGGGTGGGGGATGTTGCCCAGCGCATCAAGCTGCAGACACAGCTGGTGCAGTTTCACAAGGGGGAGGGCCGCCTCGGGTCGGATGACGCGCTATGGGCAGCCAGGATTTTGGTGGCGGGGGGACACATGACGGATGCGGAGTGGTGGTGCATTTTTGGAGGGGAAGTGCAAGCGCTCCAGGAGCTGGCTGTGACGTCCCTTTCACAGCCAGTCACCTCGTCAGAGGTGGAGCGGTACTGGTCCGCCCTTGCACGAGTGCAGAGGCGCGACCGGAACCGCATCGCGGCCAAGAAGATGACTGATGTCACCTTCGTGGCCTTCACGAGGAGGGCCCGCGATGCGTTTGATCGCAAAACGCAGGCGCGTGCGAAGTTGTACGCCGATCTCACCGACGGAACCCTCAAAGAGGGCATTGCCGTTCTCCCGCCCGCACCAGTGGAGGCGGTTGATGATGGGGCTGAGGAGGAGGAGGACGAGGAGGGAGCCGAGGTGCAGGAGTGCACCATCGACTGGAGCGTCTTTGGGAGCATTGGTAAGAAGAAGAAGAAGCGCGCGGGAGAGAGCTCCAAGAGGAAGAAGAAGCAGAAGGGAAAGGGGCCATGCAAGCGGAAGGGGAGAGGAAAGAAGCATGTGGAGGAGGAGGAGGCGGAGGATGACGAGGAGGAGGACGACGAGGAGGAGGAGGACGACGAGGAGGAGGAGGATGAGGAGGAGGATGAGGAGGAGGAGGAGGAGGCGGAGGAGGAGGAAGGATAGGAGGTGGAGTGCCGGAGGAGTAGAAGGAGTTGGAGGAGTAGGATTGGAGGAAGAGGAGGGAATAGAATAGGTGCAGATTTGCCTAACTAGTGTAGTGTAGTTTCTTGTAGGCTTCTCTGCCATCGTTGTAAGCTGCCTAGAATTTTCTGAAAAAAAAAACGAAAAAAAAAAGTCCAACAAAAAAGCGGCCGTATTTTTGCCAAAACCATCGTAATTTACAACCGTAAATTACGGACCGTAATTTACGATTGCCGTATTTTTGAACCTGCGCGTCACATCAGGAATTGCAACTCGTTTTCTCATCATGTGCCCATTTTATCATCCCCAACTCTGAAAACTCGCGAGGCGCCTAAAAAGTCCTCCATTCTTACGGTCTCGCACGAGGCAGCTTGTCCAGCCAAAACAAGGTCAAGCTCTTGTTGGGTTTCACAAAAAGGTATTTCCTTTTTAGTTCGGGTTGCTACAAGTGACATCACTTGGCTCTCATGACATCACTTGGCTCGCATGACATCACTCGGCTCGCATGACATCACTTGGCTCGCATGACATCACTCGGCTCGCATGACATCCTTGTTCTAACCGCAGAGCTTCCAATCGCACACCCCTTTTCCTTTCCATCCCAAAGTCTTTCTTTGTTTTGTCGACTACCGATGTTCCAACCATTTTAATCATCCCTGTCTCCTTGTTCTGTCCTCCATCTCTCCTTGTTCTCTCCTCCATCTCTCTCTCCTTGTTCTGTCCCCCATCTCTCCTTGTTCTGACTGCAGGGCTTCCAGTGCCGAGCGCCCATCCCTGTGGAGACTCTAATCAACATCACCAGCCGGGCTTACTCCCAATGCACCTCTATGTACACTGCTAACTATGTGAGCGCCGTTGCGAGTTGACTTTTGAGTCGACTCAACAGTCACTCCATGTACACTGATGTGAGCACCGTTGCAATTATGCAAAGTTGACTTTTGAGTCGACTCAAAAGTCAACCTGATGTGAGCACCGTTGCAATTATGCAAAGTTGACTTTTGAGTCGTCTCAAAAGTCAACCTGATGTGAGCACCGTTGCAATTATGCAAAGTTGACTTTTGAGTCGACTCAAAAGTCAACCTGATGTGAGCACCGTTGCAATTATGCAAAGTTGACTTTTGAGTCGTCTCAAAAGTCAACCTGATGTGAGCACCGTTGCAATTATGCAAAGTTGACTTTTGAGTCGACTCAAAAGTCAACCTGATGTGAGCACCGTTGCAATTATGCAAAGTTGACTTTTGAGTCGACTCAAAAGTCAACCTGATGTGAGCACCGTTGCAATTATGCAATTGCTGTTGTGAGCGCCGCCTGTGTTTGCACTTCCCACTCCCTCCATCTGCCCCCTCCCTCCATCACCCCCTTTCCCTCTGTGTGTGCTGGCAGGTTGACTCATGCGACTCAACGCATTAAAACCACCGGCGCCCTCCTCTCCACTCTCTCTGGGATGCCTTGCCCTGCCTACAAAACTGACCGAGTCTTCTTCGTCCCCATTCCTATTCCCTTCGTCTCCCCTCCCCTTCTCCCTGTGTGCCGGCAGGTTGACTCATGCAACTCAACTCAACCCTACCACCCACGCCCTCCTCTCCACTCTCTCTGGGATGCCTTGCCCTGCCTACGGAACTGACCGAGTCTTCTTCGCCCCCGTACCTATCCCCTTCGTCTCCCCTCCCCTCCTCCCTGTGTGCCGGCAGGGTGACTCGTGTGACTCCCTCAACGCCCTCTTCTCCACGCGCCTACAATCGCTCAACCTGATTCTCCCAATAACCACGCTTTTGCTTTCCACTCCCTCCTCCTATGTCTGCAGGGTGACTCGTGTGACTCCATCAACGCCCTCTTCTCCACGCGCATTCAGTCGCTCAACCCCGCCCTCAGCTGCTCTGATGGGCCCCGACCCGGCCAGGTGGGTGCTGCAGATGATGAGTGGAGATGAGTGCAGATGAGTGGAGATGAGTGCAGATGAGTGGAGATGAGTGGAGATGAGTGCAAATGAGTGCAGATGCAGATGGGTGCAGATGAGCGCAGATGAGTGCAGATGCAGGTGGGTGCAGGTGAGCTTAGGTGAGTGTGTACGCGTGTTTATACAGGAGGTGGGTGCAGATGAGTGTTTGTGGGTGCAGATGAGTGTTTGTGGGTGCAGATGAGTGTTTGTGGTTGCTTGCAGGAAGTGGCGGTGGGTGGGTGGAGAGTGGAGATGAGTGTAGGTGAGTGTATTTGAGTGTAGGTGAGTGTATTTGAGTGTAGGTGAGTGTATTTGAGTGTAGGTGAGTGTAGGTGAGTGTCAGAGAATGCATCAACATGCATCAACATGCAGTGTGCACACTGCATGTTGATAAGTGGAGCGGCAGCAATGACAGATCATCACGGTAGCCCCGTATGTTACAGGAATACCTCAACGGAAAGAGGGTTGACGGTCGATTTTGCCAGGGAAATCGACCGTTGACCTGTCGACCGTCGACCACTGTCCGCCGGGCAAAAAAAAAAAACACTCCTCACGGAAAGACATGCTATCCTAGGGAGGTATCAACCCTAAACACCTTGTGGCGTGGGCTTAGGGTTGATCCATCCCATGTTGCATGCCTTTCCGTTAGGGGTTTTAGTTGGCAGCGGTTTTCCTGGACGGGATTGTTTGTCCGTTGAGATATAACATGAGGCATTGAGGATACGAATGCTCGCTGTTTAAACTATTTTCCTCTAGTTTCTCTAAGGGTGTGAGTGCCCATTTTTTAAATCTTCTAGTTTGGCTTATTCTGTTGCTGGAGATATGATTGATTGATCATTAAGGGCCAAGATGGGCTCTACTGATCGTGGAAGTTCTTACATCGCATCGCATCGCATCGCATCACATCGCACATCGCATCGCATCGCACATCGCATCGCATCGCACATCGCATCACATCATATCGCATGATTGCACCGCAACCTGTCGCATCGCATCGCATCACACAATGTAGTAAATTCTTCTTTTGTCTCAGAACTCGAAGTTCACAAAAGTGGCCACTTACATTCTTTTGTATTCACACATTCTTCTCCCCCCTCCTCCCTCTCTCCCCTCTCTCCCCCTTCTCTGCCTCTTTCCCCCTCCTCTCCCCCCTCTCTCCCCCCTCTCTCCCTGCTCTCTCCCTTCCTCCTCCCTCCTGCCTCCTCTCTCCTTCCTCCTCCTCTCACCCCCCTCCTCCTCTCTCCCTCCTCCTCTCAATTCCCTCCTCCCCCCTCCTCCCTCCCTCCCTCCCTCCCACCCTCCCTCCCTCCCTCCCTCCCACCCTCCCTCCCTCCCTCCCTCCCTCCCTCCCTCCCTCCCTCCCTCCCTCCCTCCCTCCCTCCCTCCCTCCCTCCCTCCCTCCCTCCCACCCTCCCTCCCTCCCTCCCTCCCTCCCTCCCTCCCTCCCCGCCTCCCTCCCTTCTTCACAGCTCCTCTGTGTGGACTTCAACCGGACGTGGATAGAGTTGGAAAAGACCCGCGTGGCATGCCAAGTCGCTGTCCAACTCACCCCAGCCCCACCGCCTCCGAGCCCTCAGCCACCCCCTCCTCTAGCTGACTACATGAACCAAGGCGTGCTCGTGAAGGTGCTGCAGGGGCCGCAGTCCTGCCAGCAGCTGTGGCAGACGTTCGGCGTCTCCTCCCCCACGCGCTTCTTTCAAATGAACCCCGGGCTGTCGTGCGACTCGCTCCTGCCGTACAGCCCCCTGCGGGGGAATGTAATTAGTAGGGTGAGTTGGGTTGCGTGTGTGGAGTGGGTGGGGGGCCAAGTGGGGGGACGGGTATTGGAGAAGGGAATGGGGAATGGGTGAAGGGAAGCGGAGGGAGTGGGGACTGGGCGTTTGGCATCGCCTCCCCCACGCGCTTCTTACAGATGAACCCCGGGCTTTCGTGCGACTCGCTACTTCCGTACAGCCTCCTGCAGGGGAATATGATTGTCAGAAGACCGGCACTAGGTATCCCCGATTGATCGTAAAGGGGGTTACATGTTAGCCTAGGGGGGGGGGGGGGGGGGGTGCTGGGTGCACGCATTTGGAACAAGTCCTTTTATCCCAGTGATCTAGTGACTGGGTTTCTGACATGGTATTAGAACGGTCTCGGGTTCGAATCCCCATGTGTTCACATGCTGCCGAAGGCGCTGTCAATGTCCTGGGCCTCTCAGTGTGGGGAGTGTCAAAAGACCGGCACTGGGAATCCCCGATTGATCATAGGGGGGTTGCAGGAATGTTAGCCTGGGGGCCTTTGGGTGCACTGACCTGCATTTGGAACAAGCCTTTTGAGGCGCCTCAAAAGACCTGCATTTGGAACAAGCCTTTTGAGGCGCCTCAAAAGACCTGCATTTGGAACAAGCCTTTTGAGGCGCCTCAAAAGACCTGCATTTGGAACAAGCCATTTTATCCCAGTGATCTCGTGACTGGGATTCTGACAATGATTAGTAGGGTGAGTTGGACTGGACGGGCCTGTGTGTGGGGTGTGTGCGGTGAGGAGGTGGGGGATGCGAGAGATTCCGCAAGAGAGTGTGCAAGGGTGTGTGCAAGAGAGCGTGCAAAAAATTGTGCAAGAAAGTGTGTGAGTCCGTGCAAAAGAGTGTGTGAGAGAGTGTGCAAGAATTCACGCGTTGACTCCGTTTTGTAATTCAGGTTTTGCCTCTTTAAAGCTTCCAACAGGAAGGTGCGTGTAAGGGGGGGGAGGGTGGGGTTTCTGGGAGGGGGAGTGGGGAGAGGGGCTGCTGCTGCGGTGGAAGTGGGGATGTGGGAGTGTGTGTGTGAGGAAATGATATTGGGTACTGGTGGTGCAACGCTCTGCTTCTGTACAGTCCGCTGCAGGAGACTCGGATGGTTAAGGTGAGGCCAGGAATGGATAGCCTAGTGTTCAGGGTGAATTGGGATGTGAGTGTGGGGATGCAAGTGTGGGTGGTGTGAGTATGGGGGATGTGAGTGTGGGTGGTGTAAGTGTGGGGGATGTGAGTGTGGGTGGTGTTAAGTGTGGGGGATGTGAGTGTGGGTGGGGTAAGTGTGGGTGGTGTAAGTGTGGGTGGTGTGAGTGTGGAGGATGTGAGTGTGGGGGATGTGAGTGTGGGTGGTGTGAGTGTGTGGGATGTGAGTGTAGGTGGTGTGAGTGTGGGGGATGTGAGTGTGGGTGGTGTGAGTGTGAGGGATGCGAGTGTGGGTGGTGTGAGTGTGGAGGATGCGAGTGTGGGTGGTGTGAGTGTGAGGGATGCGAGTGTGGGTGGTGTGAGTGGGGGATGTGAGTTTGGGTGACGTGAGTGTGGGTGGTATTGGTGTGGGGGATGTGAGTGTGGGTGGTGTGAGTGTGAGGGATGCGAGTGTGGGGGATGTGAGTGTGGGGGATGTGAGTGTGGGATGTGAATGTGGGTGATGTTGTTTCTGGACATGTTAGCAATAAAGCAATACGCATGATTATCTTATGCGGGTCTTTTTCTTCTTCGATCCTGTTCAATCTGATGGCTGACTCACAGATTTGTGTGGCTGCTATTGACGCGCGACCACTCTCCGGCATCACATGTTCGACCAAGCGCACCTACAGTGTGAAGCGAGGAGACACATGCGGCATGTTGATCGTAAAGAGATACCGCCGCAGTCCTGACATGTTTAGGGAGCTTAACAATGGATATGATTGTACTGTAACCAGGTTGTGGATTGGGATGTTGCTCTGTTTACCTGTATAAATGCTAACCTCGTTGAACTAATCGTTTTTTCTTGCAACTGTGTACATTTCCACACAGTAGTCTCACTATGACCTCGATTCCCGAGGACTCGTAGAGATGCGAGGTTGTCCGAGTTCTCTAGTCTGAGTATGTGTTGCAGTGCGATAAAGTACCGTAAGGTGAATGGTTTTGACAAATCGTTTTAAGGTTCTCTTCCAAGCCAAAGTGTGGTACAGTTAGTGTGCTGAAATCCAAATGAACATGAGCAGAGTTGCACATAAAAATATACCTTGTTCGTTTTGCTTTCCGCATCCTACGGTGGTTAGTGAAATAGTTAACCCCCTTGTGCAACTTGCAGCCGGTTCATTACTAGTGCTGATGTAGCCTACGGATTCTCGCTTCTCTGCTGCTGCAGTGTGTAGTGAGAAGCGGGCGGAGGGAAGGAGGACCTATTGCAGCGAGTTGAGGAAGAGGATGACAACGACAATGACACCGATGATGATGGGGATGATGCTGATGCCGTACAGCACACTGTAGCCCTGCACAGACGTGGTGGATGGTACATGACGCATGGTAGTGCAGAGGAGGTGTGTATATTAGATTAGTGTGGGATGGTGATGGGGATGATGCTGATGCCATACAGCACACTGTCGCCCTGCACATGCCGCATGCCATGAGGTGGATGGAGCATAGTGCATATCAGAGCGGAGAAGACATGGATATTAGAATCGGGAAAGGGTGGAGGTGGCAGTGCGTTCAAGTGGTGGGATGTTGTTGGACTGACAATAATATGGCGCTGACACAACAAGCCGAGCTGCTTTTGAGGTAACCCAGGAGGACACAGTTAGTGTGTGTGTGTAGAGAGCACGCACCACCCAGGGAGGCACTTTGCTGCTGAGGTCCTTCTCCTCCGCCCGCTTCTCTGCTGCTGCAGGACTCGGTGTGCTTGGTGTATTGCCCTTACCTTGCATCAATACAACGGACCATTCGAGAAAGAGAGAGAGCAGAGAGAGCAGTGGGAGAGAGGGAGCACGCACCACCCAGGAAGGCACTTTGCTGTTCAGGTCCTTCTCCTCCTCCGCCTGCTCCTCTGCTGCCTTCTCAACTTGCTCCACCACACAGCGTCCCATTGGAGAGAGTGAGAGCAGAGAGAACAGGGATCAAAGCACAGAGAGAGAGCACGCACGCACCACCCGGGGAGGCACTGTGCTGCTGAGGTCCTTCTCCTCCTCTGCCTGCTCCTCTGCTGCTGTCGGACTTGGCATGCTTGGTGCACTGCCCTTACCTTGTATGTCTGGACCGTGTATTATAACAAAGGACCATTCGAGAAAGCGAGAGAGAGCAGAGAGATAGACCATGCACCACCCAGGAAGGCACTTTGCTGCTGAGGTCCTTCTCCTCCTCCGCCTGCTTCTCTGCAGCTGTGGGACTTGGTGTGCTTGGTGTATTGCCGTTACCTTCTATCGATACAACGGACCATTCGAGAAAGAGAGAGAGCAGAGAGAGCAGTGGGAGAGAGGGAGCACGCACCACCCAGGAAGGCACTGTGCTGCTGAGGTCCTTCTCCTCCTCCGCCTGCTTCCCTGCAGCTGTGGGACTTTGGTGTGCTTGGTGTATTGTTGTTACCTTCTATCGATACAACGGACCATTCGAGAAAGAGAGAGAGCAGAGAGAGCAGTGGGAGAGAGGGAGCACGCACCACCCAGGAAGGCACTTTGCTGCTGAGGTCCTTCTCCTCCTCCGCCTGCTTCTCTGCCGCCTTTTCAACTCGCTCCACCACCGCATCCCATTGGCGAGAGAGAGAGAGCAGAGAGAACAGAGATCAAACCACAGAGAGATAGCAGAGAGAACTACTCACCACCCAAGACGGCACTTTGCTGCTGAGGTCCTTCTCCTCCTCCGCCTGCTTCTCTGCAGCCTTCTCAACTCGCTCCACCACCGCGTCCCATTGGCTCGCAGACGACCCGCCACCGCCTGCTGACGTGGCGGACGCTGAGTAGGCGGCGGGAGTGCGGTTGGCCTGTGCGCCGCCCTGCAACCCCACGTCGGTGATCTGCGCGTAGGGGGACGTGCGCTGTCCGCCTGCCCCCACTGCCTCCTCAGGGCCTGGCTCCTCCTGGCAGGGGGAGGGCATAAGGGGGAGAGAGGTGAGGGGGTGGGGGGGGGGGGGAGGAGAGAGGGGGGGAGGAGAGAGGGTTCAAGGAGAGGTGTAAGGGAGGCGTGTGGGGGTGTGAGGTGTGTGCTGGCCACGGGAAGGGGGACGTGCGCTGCCCGCCTGCCCCCACTGCCTCCTCGGGAGGGGGCTCCTCCTGGCAGGTGGAGGGTCGTGGCGGAAGGTGGTGGAGGAGTGGTGTGGTGGGGGAGTGGTGTGGTGGGGGAGTGGCGTGGTGGGGGAGTGGCGTGGTGGGGGAGTGGCGTGGTGGGGGAGTGGCGTGGTGGGGGAGTGGCGTGGTGGAGAGGGATGAGGAGGAGCAGAGGTGGGGGCGAAGGAGGTTGAGAGGGATGAGGGAGCGGTGTGGGGGAGATTGGTGGGGGGACGGGGGTTAGGGAACTGGGAGTAGCGAGTGGGAGGGGGTTAGGGGAGATGCATGGGAAGACAACTGGGGGAGAGGTGTGACACAAAAGCGAGGGGTGACACAAAAGAGAGGAGAAAAAACCCCACTTGTCACTTTAATTTCCCTTTCTTGAATCTCACCTTTCTGAAGCCTTGCCCCTTTAATCTCCCCATCGCCCTTTAACCCCCACATCGCCTCGTATCCCTTCATATCCCCCGATCCCTCCTGCCCTCGCTCACCCGCAGGCGCGGCCAGTCTCGCATGTCCTGCCTGCGCCAGCTCTCCTTATCTCCCTCCATCACCCCTTATCCCCTCTTCCCCTCCTTCCCCCCCACCCCCCCCCATGGCTCACCCGCAGGCGCGGCCAGTCGCGCATGTCCTGCGCCAGCTTGCGCAGCACCATGCGGTCTGCTGGTACCCGGTCCTCACACACCTGCAGGGGGGGGGGGGGCGGAGGGAGGTATGAGGGAATATGGAGGAACAATGGGACAAGGGGGGGAGAGGGGCCCCGTCTCAAAACCAGCTTGCGCAGCACCATGCAGTCTGCTGCCATGCAGTCTGCTGCCATGCAGTCTGCTGCCATGCGATCTGCTCAGCAATCTGTTTTTTGAAAGCAGATTCTGCTGGCATGCGGTCCTCACACACACTGCAAGGGTGGAGGGAGATGCGGAGGGAAACGGGCACAGAGGGGAGAGGGCGCGGATGGGCAGGGAGGGGAGAGGGCGGGGATGTTTCAGACGCCTGCGCTTGCGTAGTGAGAGGGGTGGAGCAGCGAGGAGTGGAGCAGTGAGAGGGGTGGAGCAGTGAGAGGGGTGGAGCAGTGAGAGGGGTGGAGCAGTGAGAGGGGTGGAGCAGTGAGAGGGGTGGAGCAGTGAGAGGGGTGGGGACTTGACGAGCAGAATACAGCAGTTGAGCATTCCCCCCCACCCTATCGCCCACACTATCACCCACCCTATCGCCCACACTATCGCAACCACACTTCCCCACCTCTCCGGCCCTCCTCACCGTCCCTCTCGCCCCCATCCTGCCCCCCTCACACTCCTCGCCAGCCAAGCCCCACATCTCCCCTCCTCCGTCCCGCCCCCCCACCTCTCCCCTCCCCCGCCCAGCCCCCCACCTCTCCCCTCCCCCGTGCGCACATCTCCCCTCCCCCGCCCCCACCTCCGCAATCTCCCCTGCGCGCACCTCAAGGAAGGCATTGGCGATCTCGTCGCGGGAGCACCCGCTTTCAATCTCGATGCCCACCGCCCCCTTCCCTCTCCTCTCCCCCGCGCACCTCTCCCCTCCTCTCCCCTCGCCTCTCCCCTCCCCTCCCCAGCGCGCACCTCAAGAAACGCGTCAGCGATCTCGTCGCGGGCCACCCGCTTTCGTTCTCGATGCCCTTCCCCACCCCGCTTCCCGCCTCTTTCCCCCCTCTTCCGCCCTCTCCCTTCCCCCGCTCCTCTCGTCCCTCCCCCAGCGCGCACCTCAAGGAAGGCGTCGGCAATCTCGTCGCGCGAGCACCCGCTTTCATTCTCGATGCCCATCTGCCGCCGCCGCTCCGCCTCGCGCGGGTCCTCGATCATCAGCACCAGCCGGATCTGCGGAGATTGGCGCGCGCGACATCACATTGGCGCGGGCGGTAGGCGCGCGGAAATTGGCGCGCGGCAGGGTGGCGATTGAGGGGGGATAGGGAGAGGAGGTGTGGGGGGGGGGGGGGGGGGGGGGAAGGGGGGGGAGGTGGAAAGGGCAGCGAAATGAGGATAGCAGGGAGGTGGGCGAAGCGTGCGAAAGGCTGACACTGACGGACAATGACGGGCACTGACGGAAGCACTGACGGACAATGACGAACAAAACAGAGACAAAAAAGGCGACAGGGAGCGTGTAGTGAGACCACGCGCGCTCCTCTCGCGACGCAGGGTACGATATCCATTCTCAAAAGCTAAAGTCTCTTCTAGACGGCTGCTGCAGCTTTCGTTTCTTCATGGGTGAACTCATAAGGCTAATAAAAGCACCTCCTGCGCCGTTATGTCGTGACGCAGGGTACGAACTACAGACTAGGGTACCCCTAATGAACACGGATAACGCACCTCCTGCACGGTCATGTCGCGACGCTCCTTGAGCAACTCGATGGTCTGCCACGCACGCACACGCACAGTCATGGATACGAATTAGGCTCGAGGCACGCAGCACGCAGCACGCAGCACGCACATTAGCGGATGCGAATCAGAATGGCAACGGTACGAAATGGGCAGCTACACCACTTGGCAAGCGTCGTAAATGTTGCATATTGCGAACGTTGCGAGCGTCGCGAATGTCGTGAGACCTCTATGCGAGCGCAAATCACCTCGAGGATGTCCTGAATGTCGCTCAGGTCCTGCGCCTCCTCCGCCGACAGCTGCGCCTCCCCATCCTTCCCCTCCGCCGCCGCCGCCGCCGCTGCTCGCACGGACCGCCTTGACGCGGGACCCGGTTGTCGCGATGAAACGCTTTGCTGCGATTGGCGGCGGCATCGGACGGCTAGCGATCGCCCGGAAGAGAAAGAGACGACACGGGGCGAGCGGGATGCGGCACGACGATGAGCGAACGACGGCGACGCGTGTGGGGCGTGCCGCACGGCAATGGACGTCGCCATTGCGGACGGACAGAATTATCTAACGGACGAAAAAAAACTCTCTGATCACTTGAAATGACAAGGGAATCCAAGAAGCTCCCAACACGGGGGCAATCAGAAAGGGAATCGCACATGGATAAGGTACGCGTCTAAAGCTTCTCCTCTTGGCCGCACAATCAGCTGTTGAGCTTGACAAAACGTAACTAACGCCACGGTGTGACAGCTCTCGTTTTCTCGGTAGGCAAATTTGCACCGATTGCGATGTCGCCAGAAATGTGGGGAAAAAATGGTTGGGGAAAGGAGGGGTGTGATTGGGGCCCAGTTCGGCAGGCATTATGGCCATTATGGGCATTTTTAACGGGCCCCCAAAAAATGCCCCCTCGAAACAACTGCGAAGTCAGACTGTAGCTGCAGTTTAACTTCGGAAGAATGGGCCCGACTGTTCGATTGGCATTAAATGGGCCTGGATTAATGGCATCAACCCAAAATGACACTTCGCAGAAGCTCGCATGCAGCTGCGCTGATGGAGCGCAGGATCACTGTACTGGCAGCCCGGGCAGCCCTGCAAACCAGTGGTGGACGTCGAAAAAAATCGGGCAAGAGAATATGTGCGTTCGATGTGTTAGCGATGGTGTGTTGGTGATGTGTGATTTTCCAGCTGGCAAGAAGAGGGGCATGAAAGACCCGGATTTGTTTTTTCAGGGCAATGTGTGATTGCCCCGAATCACTGATACCCCGTGTGGTGCGGGCTCTCGAGGCCGCATGGTGCGGCGTATCAGAAAATGGACCATTTGCCTGAGAAATAGGGCTCGAGGAAGATTCCTCTGGTGGAAAATGCCAGCGTCGAAAGGGGTGTTCGGCTGGCATTCCATTATTGTCTGGTTCGGCGATGATCCGCTTATATCGAGCCTAGATAACCTTTCACGCGCTTATCACAGAAGGCTCCAGGGTGGTCGGTTTACTGTAGCCCATACGGGGAAACCGTTTTTTTAATGTCTGCCGAACCGGGCCTGGGTGGAAGAGGTGGCTTGGGGATGGCTTGGTTGAGGAGGGCTGGGTGGTTCGGTTCGGGAGGCTTGGTGTTCGCCTTGGTGGGGACGAGCCTTGGTGCTGCTTCTGCTGTGCACCCACGCCACTCTCTGCTAGCTCCCACACCTAGGTTCTGGTTACCGAGGCGAGACAAACTTCGTTTGGGAAATACCAGAGCAGGCTCGAAGGGAAGGCTCGTGCGGAAAAGAAAGGTTGGCGAAGGGAAGGTAAGGCAAACAAACCAGGCAAGCCCCAAGGAGTGTTTTCCCGTGGGGGACGCTTCCTCCCACTTCTTCCTGGAAGGAACGAATGCCCAGCAGGATTAGTGATATTGTGAGGGTGGCCTCTGAGCGTCTTGTGTGTGGCGCGCTGAATGCGGAACTGAATTGCGAGCTTGTATAGCCAAGCTATGTGCAGACTCGAAATAGCAGCTGCTGAAAGCGCCGGTTTAGCCGAGTGAACATTTTTCCAGGTGCGAAGCACGCATTCTGAGCGACCCAGCATTGTTCCACGTGAGTCCGCAGTTTTACATTCGCAGCAATCGCTCCTAGGTTGTCTTAGTCACGAACAACACACCTAACTGATTATAAAAAAACCTTCGACACCAGTGTGTCCTCGCTGAAGCCGTTGTATTTTATATCATACTCGCGTGGTCCAATCCATTTAGGCCTCAGCTTCACATCAGCTGCCAGTTGGTGCACATGGCTGTTCTCATGGACTCTAGTAGTAGAACCCACATTCACGATCTCCTAGACGACGTTCTCATCAGGATCTTGTGGCCTTCCAAGCAGTCAGTCATTTCTTGCACATCGAACAGCGATGCGCTGTGCAACTTTGTCACGCCCAGGTCTAATCATCTCTACAGGGACGCTACTCCGGACACTGCGATGCCGACCCTTCCTGCCTCTGCAGATGCCGCTCATAGTCTCGTCATCGCGTCCATCTGCCGTCGCTGGCGGCGTCTCGCTCAGAGGCATGTTTCGACGCTTCTCGTCAAAGAAGACCGCGTAGTTTCTCGTCAGGATGTCCTCACCGCCGTCGCTTGCTTCCCGAATTTAACCCACCTGCATCTGTCGGACGGAAGTGTTGAAACGCTGGACAACTCATTTCTAGCTGACCTCGCCTCCTCATGTCCTGGGTTGAGAGCGCTGCACGTGGGCAAGTTGATGATGGCAGCGGACGACAGACAGCATGGAAGGAGGGACCGCTTTATAACCGAATCTGGTTTGGACTATTTCTTCCGTCACTGCCCTCAGCTAGAGCAGCTGTCGCTGTACTGTCTTGAGGGAGATCAGAACCCACCAGCTTCATTTTTTCAGCTTCAACATTTGAGCATCCTCGTCTTGACCAATACTTGGATCTTAAAGTCTCCAAACCTCAGCCGCCTTTCGTCCCTCACTGCTCTCTCCATTGAAGCCTCCTCTCTTCACTACGACCAGCTTTCCAGCCTCCTTCAACTCACCAACCTCATCCGCCTCTCCTTGCCGGATGACATTCGCGTCGTTTCACCAGATCCTCCTGCCTTCTCGCTCGCCCAGCTACCCTCTCTCGAGTCTCTCAAGTTTGGACTGCACGGTGCTCAGTTCAGCATTTTTCCCCCTCTTAGATCGCCATACAGCTTCCTGAAACGCCTGCAGCTTAACGAGTGCTTCAGCCAAGAGCGGATTCCAGACAGTGTAGGAGAGGTGCTGCCACGCCTCCAAGAGCTCAGCATCAGCGGCCAAAGCTTCAGGGACTTGACTGATCATTTCACCTCCCTCACCTGCTTGGAGAGCTTGACCATTTCCTCAGGCCTCGTACTCACTCTACCTGAAAACTTTGGGAATCTTCCAGCTTTGAAGGCGCTGTTGCTGCAGGAGCAACCGCTTTGCCATCTCCCGGCTTCCTTCACTAGACTCGCATCGCTGGAGTCGTTTTGCCTGCGTGACTGCATGGGGGTGGAGAAGCTACCTGCAGGGTTTGGCAACCTCACTGCACTGCAGACTCTCAGCCTTGCGTGGCTGATGAAACTGGACCTTCGAGAAGACTTGGGGGGGCTGACCAATCTTCAAATCTTCCATCTCATTAAAAACAGGGAAGAGCAGCTGCCATCGTCATTCACGCAACTGGCTTCGCTGACCAGGTTGGAGCTAGATCGGTGCGCGATTGCCGAGCTTCCTGCGGGGATGGCAGAGATGACAAACCTGCAGGAGCTCCACATTCTGAAGTGTCCGGCCTTCAAGGAGCTTCCGGAATGTGTGACGGCGCTCACCAGCCTTCAATTGCTGAGGATTCAAGAGTGTCGCCGTCTCTCATCGGTTCCCAGGAGGCTGGACAGCCTTACTAGGCTGAAGCAGTTGGAGCTGAGGGGATGTTGGCTGCTGAGAGAAGCCCCTCAAGCTCTGCCTCTCACTCTCCAGGCGCTATCCTACTTGGAAAACAGTCAGCACGTGGTGTCTCCGACAAACATTTCAAGGCTCACTGAGCTCAGGATATTGCTCTTGGGCACCGTGCGTGCACCATTTCTTGAGGCCATGGGTGCCAGCCTCTCTGGTCTCTCTCATGTGGAGCACCTGGAAGTGGGGCTGGGAGAAGATGCAGAGGAGCTTCTGACCGTGTTGACAAGGCTTCCCCGCCTTCATACCTTGACACTCCAGGAGGCTCGCAGCTTGGACATGCTGGTGGAGTCTGGCGGCTCGGCATTGCAGGAGCTACGACAGCTGAACATCAGAACCATGTATGAAGAACTCGCAGAGCTGCCTGCGGCCATCACCACTCTCCACCACCTGACATCCATTCAGATCCATGCCCGGATGTTATCTTCCCTTCCAGATATCTTGGGGGCATTCTCAAGGCTGCGCAGGCTGGAATTATCCCACTGCTCATCCCTCACGCGTCTCCTTGCTTCCCTCACGCAGCTCTCCTGCCTGCATTATCTGAACCTCAGCTACACCAGCATCTGCATGCTTCCTCCTAACTTTGCTCGGCTCAGCAGACTCAAGAAGCTCAATATCTCTAACTGCAAGCACCTCGAAGCACTACCTGACGACATATATAATCTCAGAATGCTCGAGCGTTTTTCTACTGTGGGGTGTGATATGCTCCAGCGCTGAGGCTGTCTTTTCACCACTCATACATTAGGCCCCCTAGTTATTTTCATATGTTGTAAAATTGATCTTAGTGAACTTACTTATGGGCCAGAATGCTTTCCCAGAGAAATGGTATGCATTCTTCTAGGCTGAACCGTCGGCCCAAATTGTTCATCCTTGAAAATGTTGACAAGAGGGAGATTTTCTGGTCTGGGTTTGGGCAAGGCATGACATTCTGTATGATGATTTCTCGTGGGATTATGAATTTCATTGTGAATATCTGTATGTCTCAAGCCATGATAAGTATTGTGCTAAATGTTCCATGGTGTTATGATTACCGTATGCGCCCGAATATAAGACATATATGTCTTATCTCGTACACAGGCAAAAATGCTTGGGTTGTCTTGTATTTGGGACAGTTTCGGGTGTCTTATAAGTCATAAATGGACAAAGAACCGTTTAGAAGATACCCCCTCGCTATACGATTGCCCCTAACCCCTACACTGGCTTAACTCGTACATACAAATTGGTGTCTTATTATGAGGCTACCCTGTTCATAAGAGACACCCGGATAATAGACACCCTCTGTCTCCTATTCAACATTGCCGGGTGATGACGGTAGCATGCGGAATGCCACGTATGATGATGACTTGTATGATGACTTGTATGATGAATGTCGCATGGCATGATGATTAGCTTTTTGGATGTTTCTAGGCGCGATGATGTCTCAAGGCATGATACCTTGCATGATGATGCAGATTCAGGACGTGCTCAGGCCTGATTACCTGAATGTTGAGGTGAATTTCTAGAGCATGACTACCTTGCCATGACAAAATGAAGGCCAAATGTCATATGGCATGATAGTTAGCACTTTGAATGTGTATAAGCCAGATCAGCTGTATGCTGAATATCTCATGGCTTTATGACTTGCATGTTGAATGATTTGCAATGAGAAATTATTTGCATACTCAAATTTTCATGGCTAAAAGCATGTTGTATTGCATGATGTATGCCTCATAGTACATAGATTTGAGTGCTGAATGTGCGATGGCATGGAATATTGCATGGTGAATGTCATGATGAAATGCTGACAGATTGATGAAATGCATGATAATATGCATGCTGAATCTCGCATTAGACTATGAATCGCACGACAAACATTCTGAAGCTCTTGGCCTGAAAAGTTCAACCTTACTAAGTTGAGAGCTGGGCAGTTGGGGAGGTGAACACGAGTCGAGCAGCGCTTTGGTAGCGACAATTGTTCTATCTTCACCCAACACAAGGGGGCATGAGAGGAGCGTGGGAATGAAAGGAGTGGGGTATGAGAGGATTTGGGGGTGTGAGAGTAATGGGGGGATATGAGAATAGTGAGGTATGAGAGGCCTGGGAGGTATGAGAGGCTGGCATGATTCAGCCTTGCATGATTCAGCGAGGCATGATTCATCCACTCATGATTTAGCAAGGAATGATCCAATATGGCATGATTAATCTAGGCATGATGCAGCCAGGCATGATTCAGCCAGGTAGGATTCAGCCAGGCATGATTCATCCAGGCATAATTAAGCCTGGCATGATTCATCCAGGCATGATTGAGCCTGGCATGATTCAGCCTGGAATGATTTAGCATGGCATGATAAAGCCGGGCACGATTCAGCCTGGCCTGATTCAGCCTGGCGTGATTCAGCCTAGCATAATCCAGCCCGGCATGATTCAGCCAGGCATTATTCAGCCTGGCATGATTCAGCCAGGCATGGTTCAGTCAGGCATGCTTTATCCAGGAATGATTCAGCCTGGGATGATTCAGTCTGGCATGATTCAGCCTTGCATAATTCATCCAGGCATGATTCAGCCTGGCACGATTCAGCCTGGAATGATTCAGCCTGGCATGATTCATCCTCGCATGATTTAGCTTGGCATGATCTAGCCTAGTATGCTCCAGCCTGGCATGATTCAGCCAGGCATGATTCAGCCTGGCATGATTCAACCAGGCATGATTCAGCCATGAATGATTCAGACATGCATGGTTAAGCCTGGCATGATTCAGCCTGGTATGATTCAGCCTGGCATGATTCAGCCTGGCATGATTCAGCCTTGCATGATTTAATCTGGCATGATTCAGCCTAGCATGATTCAGCCATGAATGATTCAGCCTGGCATGGTTTAGCCTGGCATGATTAATCCTGGCATGATTCAGCCTGGCATGATTCAGCCTGGCATGATTACGCCTGGCATGATCCAGCCTGGCATGTTTCAGCCAGGCATGATTCATCCAGGCATGTTTCAGCCTGGAATTACTCATCGAGGCATGATTCAGACTGGCATGATTCAGCCAGGCTTGATTTAGCCATTCAACCAGGCATGATTCACCCAGGAATGATTCAGCTTGGTATGATTCAGCGAGGGAGGATCCAGCCAGGCATGATTCAGCCTGGCATGATTCAGCCTAGCATGATCCAGCCTGGCAGGATTCAGCCGGGCATGATTCAGCGTGGCATGATTCATCCAGACATGATTCAGCCAGGCACGATTCAACATGGCATAATTCATCCAGGCGTGATTCAGCCTTGCATGATTCAGCCAGGAAGGATTCAACCAGGCATGATTCATCCAGGCATGATTCAGCCAATTTCCCATGAATGATTCAGCCTGGCATGATTCAGATTGGAATGATTTAGCCTGTCATAATTCATCCAGGCATGATTCAGCCATTCATCCAGGCATGATTCAGCCATTCATCCAGGCATGATTCAGCCATTCATCCAGGCATGATTCAGCCATTCATCCAGGCATGATTCAGCCTGGCATGATTCAGACTGGGAGGATCCAGCCAGGCATGATTCAGCCTGGCATGATTCAGACAGGCATGATTCACCCTATGATGCTTCAGTCTGGCATGATTCAGCCTAGCACGATTCAGCCTGGCATGAATCATCCAGGGAAGATTCAACCATTCAGCCAGGCATGATTCAGCCAGGCATGATTCAGCCAGGCATGATTCAGCCAGGCATGATTCAGCCTGGCATGATTCAGCCAGGCATGATTCAGCCTGGCATGATTCATCCAGGCATGGTTCAGCCAGGCGTGTTTTATCCTGGCATGATTTAGCATGGAATGATTCAACCAGGCATGATTCAACCAAGCATGATTCAGCCAGGCATGATTCAGCCAGGCATGATTCAGCCTGGTATGATTCAGGCGGGCATGAATCAGCCTGGCATGATCCAGCCAGGCATGATTCAGCTACGTTTTCTTAATGTACACGGTTGCATGCAAGACAGTTTAATGACATGACCAGAGTTTATGCTGAAAGTCTCATAGCATGCTGACTGCGTGATGGCATGCTAGTATGTAATTTGATTAGCTCATGGTGTGATGAATTTTTTGCAGGATGTTGGATTAACATAAAATGGCGTTTGTGCATTGTCATATCTCATGTACCGTATTTCGAATTCCGTCTAGTATCTTGATCAGGCCTAATTTTATCAGTGTAAATCGCCTTGATACCCTGATTATCAGGGTGATTTTTGATAGTAACACTGATGGCCTAAGGTAAATTTCCTAGGAGCTAGGATTTTCCTGATCAGCCAGTGTTCACATTTAAGGCACACTGATGCCTCAGGGTTACCGTTCTTCATAAGGAGTTTTACCCTGAAACGAGTACCATACCCCCTCCCCCCCCCCCCCCCCTTCTCCCCCTCCCCCACCCCCCCTTTCCCATGACCCGGGATTCTCGATTGCCAACTGTCGAAACCGGAATTTCAGCCTCGACAATACATGTGCTGGCATGAAGCGGGCCACCATTGGCCAGAAATACAGTTACGTTGTTGACAATGCCACTGACTCAACTCGGTCTGTTTCTCTGACATGACAACATGACCAGGTTAGCAGGAAACCTGGCTGAGTGCAGCCGAAAGTCGGTGTCCACCAGCACACTGGGCACCGCGTTCCCGTATGGCCTGTGGGTGGCTGTGAACTTCCCTTGCCAGCACGATAGGAAACATATGCGTTGGGGACTGGGGTCTCACCTTTCTGGACGAGAATCCTCTCCCCCATTTGGGAGTTCCAACACAGGTAGCCGTTTCTCTTGATACACACCACCAGCCATGGCGCAATGTCAGGACGACGATGTAGGAGAAGCTGCTGACGAGCCACCAAACGATGCTGCCGCACGAACAGGCTTAGATTTCATGGGAGGGCTTCATGTGAACCCTCCGCCGGCCTGCACTGCCGGCCCGTCATCGTGCAGCGGCAAGAAGATGCCTCCTGCTCGCCCTACTGGTTCCAATGCCGTCGCGCCGGACAGTGCTCCTGCCACTGTCAGCGTGACAGAGGTCGGCGAGTCTTCGTCTGGTGCCTCGAAGAAGAGGCTGAGATACGCGCAAGCCGTACTCCCGTTCGGCACGCCTCCTGCTAAGCCGGCTCCGCCTCCGGCTCCCGCCCAAGCTCCCTCGCGTGTTTCTCGTGAGCTCTCCTGAGCCGAAAAGGCAGGAGATTTTTGAAGGCGCAGCAGCTATACATCACCCAATGGCTGCCGAAATTTGATTGGCTGCTGCTGGATAAGAACGAGGATGGGTTGCACATCCTGCGCTGTAGTATATGTGTGGAGCACGGCAAGGACGACGCGAAATTCGGGTGCAACGGCACGGGCGGATGCGATCTGCAACTCGGATCGATGAGATGTCATGAGCTGAGTGGCCGCCACGACGAAGCAATGAAAAGGCAGCGCACGCTCATGGCCGAGATCGAGCAGCAAACGCGCATCAACGATTTCGCCAACACCGACAAGGAAGGCGCGCGGCTTACTCATCTCGTGCATGGGATTGAGTTCATCTGCGATCACGACGCCCGATCTCCATGTTTCCGAAGCTCATAGGCTTCCTTGCGAAGGAAGAGTCGCCTACATCCGCTTCAGTCCTATGGCATTTACATTACACAGTAAGTCTACCGTATTTGTTGTGTTTATTGCAATGTGTCCTACTGCGTTGTACTGAGTCCGACATAGCTTTGACTTTACCCCGTGGCTT